GCCGCTTACAGCAGCGATGGTGGTGGCACTTGCACTTGCTTGCACTTGCGCCTTGCCATTGCAAATTACATGCGCGCCCGCGTTTGAAGGAACGCGCGCGCTTCCGTTTGCGGCGATGGGTAGTCGCTTCCAGCAACTGAGGCCGCTGCTATTGCTACCACTGGGACATGCCACGGCCGTTGTGGTCATAGTCGCAAGAATCGCAACCCACCATGCGCCGCCATTATTTTTTCAAGCGTATTTGTTTTGTCGCTGTTGTTGCTTTTGTTGCCAGAGCGCACGAAGCCGCCATTTGGGCTTCAGGTTTTGCCATGCCGATTGATTCGGCGACATCGTTGAAGCAAGGGGCGCAGCCCCCTGAGGGGCAGCCCTTATCGGGAGATCGAATAGTTCATATATGTGTCCGAAAATTCGGCGACCGCGTCGACTGGGCATTGGATCGGATTGGTTGCGCGCGCCGTATGACTTGCAACGTTTGCAAGCGTAGCAGGTGGCGCTCGCTCCTGTAGCATATGGCGTGTTCGCCGTAGTAGCAGTGTTTGGGCAGGTGGTGCCCACCCCGCATGTGGCGTTGTGAGAGGGTGTTCGCCCGCTAAAGACTTGAATGTCTTGAAATGGCTTGTCCTGTCCCCCCCCCCCTCCCGTCGCCAGCATCATCATCACCATAGCCAGTCTGATCACCACTATCATCGCCACCATGGCCATCCAAATTGTCAGCCTCGTTACACTTAACGCCGTTACCATGTCGGCGCGACCCTCAAACGTTTCGCGGCTCCACGGTGGCCTCCGCCGAAGGCCTCAACGGGACAGCCCGCGCGCGTCGCACACACGCCCAATTCAGCACACACACACGCACACACACTTCACACGCGTGGTGGCCCCATGGGCGGTTCCACCGAAGACTTCAGCGGGGCCGCCCGCGTGCGTCACCCACGCCCACTTCGGCGCACCACTCGCACGTTTCGTGGCGCCATGAGGCGCTCCACCGAAGGCCCCAATGGGGCCGCTCGCGCGCGCCACCCACGCCCAGTTTGGCACGCCCCTCACACGTTTGGTGGCACCGTGGGGAGCTCCACCGAAGGCGACAATAGGACCGCCCGCGTGGGTCACCCTTTTCGGCATGCACCTCATGTACAACGTGGCTCCCATCTGGGCGCTCCACCGAAAGCCCAAATGGGGCCGCCCGCATGCGTTACCCACGCGCAATTCGGTACACCCTCAGGCTTCGTGACACCATTGGGAGCTCCACCGATAAACCCACTGGGGCTGTCCGCGTGCGTCACCCACACCAATATTCGGCACGCCCCTCACACGCTTCGTGCTCAGAGCTCCACCGAAAGCCCCAATGGGGCCGTCCGCATGCGTCACCCGCACTCAATTCAGCACACCCTCATACGCTTCGTGGTCACATAGCACCACCGAAGGTTCCAATGCGACCGCCTGCATGCGTCACTCACACCCAAATCGGCACACCCCTCGCACGTTTCGCGGGGCCGTAATGGGGGCCCACCGAAAACTCCAGTGAGAACGCCTGCGCGCGCCACCTGCACGATGTCGGCACACCCCTCACGTTGCGCGGCCCCACCCAAGGACCTCCACCGAAGCCCTCGCAGGGAGTGCTGGCCGTGAGCAGCTTAGCTGCCAACAAAAGGCGCGCCACCATCACCATTTTCACAATATACTTATCATCATCATCCTCCTCTGTTCCTTCCTTCTCCTCCTCGTCCAAGCCCGCCGCGCTCTCCTCGGCCCCCAGCCATCCCCCTCACCGCACCCTTCTGCTTCCTTCCATCACCCTGCTCCTCCCCCTCTTCCTCCTCCTCCTCCTCCCAACCACCGCATCCAAGAGTCAGTTGCTAACGCGCCCCTTCGTTTTCCTCCTGTTCCTCGTCCGTTCTAGTTTGCTGGAACTTCCCCCCTCCCCTCCTTCCCGTCCACCGTCTCCCCCTCTGCTTTCCCCGTCCTCACCCCCCTCCTCCGCCCCCCTCCTCAGCCGCGCCACCCCCCTCCTTCCGCCGCGCCCCCGCCCCGCCTGGGCCTTCATGACCACCTCGCCCTCTTCGTCGTAATTCGTCACTCAGATCCCTCGTCCGTTTCTCAACTTTTCGAGGTCTCGAGTGGGGGGATCACTTGAAAAGTTGTGTGTGCGGGGGCGGCCGCATGTGGGTGACCCCTCGCTTTGAGTGGTGCAACAGTTTTATTGGTGAGGACGTCTCAAGCGGGAACGCCGTGTTAACGTCAGGAATGGACAGGGGCCGCGACGGGACCGTCAGAGGTGACGCCGAGGATGAGGAGGAGGATGGGCGAGGAGGGTGGTTGCGATGATGATGACGATGATAATGGTGATGGTGGTGATGGTGATAGTGTCCCTGCTGCTAAGCACGAGCAGGCGCCCCTCTTTGCCACGCCGTCGAAGCCTTTTTGGCTGTAGAGGCGCGCTGGCCGCTGGGCGCAAGCATGTCCGCTGCGCCTTCTTCTAGTAAGTATCCTGGGGGGCCCGGGCCGCCCCCGAGCCCGCCGCCTGCCGTGGCCTTTCAGGCCGCCAAGTGGTCGGCGCCCGCGCCGCATGACGAGCCAGAGGTGCCAGTCGCTGGCATTCCCGGCATGCTTGGGGCCCACCAGCGGCCAGCGCCAATGTGCATTCCGCCACGCCGTGCGCGGGCCATGGCAGAGGGGATGCACGCGGCGGCCGCAGCCGCAGCTCCACCGATCGTCATGCAGCCCATCGTCGTGCCTAGCCAAGCTCCGTACCAGGGAGCCAGGGAGCCCTCGGCCGCGCCCGTGTCCTCGAGCGAGCCCGCGCAGCAGACCAGTTCAGAGACCGCAGCGGGGGGCATTTGCAACGCGTCTCCCGTGCAGGTGGATGAAGGCCATGGCATATTGGCACCACAGCGAGCGCCAGCAGATGGCGACGCCACAGGGCCCCCATCGAAGGTTCCGAGGATCTCCGTGGAAGACGCCGTGCTCATGGTCAAGGACTTCGCGCCTTGCACGATCGTGTGTGGCGACGGTTCCCCGACGCTCATTTCCCACCGACCGCCCGTGGAAGCCTTTGAAGCCGTCTGCGCGCAGATGTCCAGGTCACCAGCCGTGGCCACATCCGTGCCCACGTCCGCTAGTGGCGGTGGCGACGGGCATGCGACGTCGGCATCTGCCTCCGCGTCAGAGGCTGGCGGCCTTGGCAAAGGCGCCGAGCAGGGCGGCGCGCCGAGCCAGGCGGCCTCGGCAAAGGCCGATGCTTTGGAAAGCGAGGCCAAGGCTCGCAAGGCGCGGGCAGAGATGGCAGCCTCACGTCGCCTCGCTCGCGCAGAGAGACATCTCACCAGCGGAGCCGAGAAGGTCTCTGCCGATTGGTTCGCTTACTACGAGTCGCACGAGGCGGCGGCGATGGCCGCGCACGACTACGAGAGCACAAGCATGGAATGGTTGGCCACGGGGCTGGCGCACGCGCACGTTCGCAACGCTACGGATACCGAAATGCAGGCCGTCATCGATGCGATGCGCGACAGTAGATGAGGACATTCGGAGATGATAATCTGATAAGGGATGCTAAGGGGAGTTGTGGTGGTTGGAGTGCATGTCTGATAACCTCGGAGGCATCGTCAGCCGCCTTGGAGGTGCGCCCTGGGGCCCGCCGAGAAGCATTCTCGAGCCGTTTTTGTCGGCCCCAGGGCTTCCACACCGAAGGGTCCAGGGGTTCAGTTTCCCAGGGCGTCATCTGGGGTGGGATGTATCTTGTCAGTGGTCTTCTTGAGGCGGCCCACCTTCAACTGGAGCGACGAGCCGTCTTGAGCCAATGTGAGTTGCCCTTGAGGTCTTTGGAGGCATCGTCTGGTTCTTTGAGGTCGTCTGAGGGTTGTCTTAGGCTGTCACGCGGCTGTCAGTGACCCCTTCCCACCCTTCCACCCGCATCCGGCCTCGGGGGGGCGGCGGCGTGCGAGGCCCTCCCCGAAGGGGAAGAATGATGAGACGGCTGCAATTCTGTGCTTAGTCGCTTGCGTGGGGGTTGGTGGCATCGCAAGTGCGCCGCGGTCTTCTCGGCGTCACCCCCCAGGGGGGGTCGTTGAAGCTTAGTGAATCCATCTTGGGCCGCGCGCCGCATAGGCTCGAGCATTCGACCCGCGCCACAGAGGCGTTTGCGATCCAGGGCTGCAGCGCAAGGCTGACCGAGGTGCCGCGCGCATGTCGAGCGGAGCGAAAAAGAGGGGCTCTGGCGGCGAGGGCCCCAGGAAGGCTCGTCGCACGCTTCAGACCTGCGGCTGCTGCAGCCGCACGGAGCAGGGCCATTTGAAATGAGAGCGTTTCGCAATGGCATCTTTCTTTTCACCAGCGAAGGGGGTGCAAGGGATGAACGGTAGGCTCGCGAGCTTTCTGTGTTATGTTAGGGCGTTGGGGTCGCAAGGCCAGGGGGGCCCACTACTTTGTACTAGCTGACCCCTCCCCCGCGCAAGGTCACCATATCAAACGCGTTTTTGGGTCACAGGGCCCCATTGGATTGGTGGGCGCCCGCTTGATGACTTCCCCATCGAGGCCTTCTTGCTTCCCCCTCGGGTAGCACCGCCGCTAACGCGATGGAAAGCGCCCCTCTGGAAACAATTGTTCTCCACCCTTCTGAGTTCACCCTAGGGGGATTGCCATCGGCTACATCGGGGCTGGCCCGATCAATGTTGGAAGATATATGTAGCCGTCTGGGGCCATCGCGGACCATCGCTAGTGAGGGGTAGGGGTCGCAGGTGCGAGTGCGGCCAGATGTGCTGGAGGTGCCGCCCTCTTTCCCCTGACCCCCCCCCCCCCCAGCAATGTGTACACCACCTCCCCCGATCGTTCCCTCATCGTATCCTCCCTTCTTTTGTTGGCCGCGCCCGCAGGAGACCACCGTGATGGACCAGGTCTACGCTTGCAGCAGCGGGTCTGCCGACGCCCCTGCAGTCGAGTACTTCGGCAGCGAGGAGTGCGTGGGCTTCGTTGAGACGCACTTGCCATGAGTTTCCTTCGCCCAGGTCCGCCATGACAAGGCGGAGGATGAGGAGTTCGCAGCGGAGTTCGAGGAGGCGCTCCAGGTGCCAGATCAGGATCCCAAGTTCACCCCGAGCTTCGGTGAGCACGCGCGCGTGGGCGGCGTGGCGTACGAGGACATGGTCGCGCCCAACCACTACCAGGTCTTGACGACGTGGGGCAAGACGCCGAAACAGATGCGCCTCAAGCCGCTCAGTTGGACTTCCCGCACTGGTGAGAAGGTCACAGTCTACCCGCTGAAGGAGACCGAGGATTCGTGGCTACGCATCCGCATGTTCAGTGAGATCGCCGACGCCAGCCAGACGAATATCATGACAGACGTGAGCGGCTTGATGGACCCGCAGATGGGGCGCGTGATGGCGGCGCGGCTCTCGGACAAGAACAATGAGAAGGCAGCGTTCTCGACGTTTCGTTTGGCCACCCTTAGCACTGTCAACGAGGGGTCGAGGCAGCTGGGCGGCAACGAGATCCCCCTCCCGCTTCGCAGCTCAGGCGGGTCTGCGGCCGCCGCCGCCTCCGCGCAACCACAGCAGCGGGGCGTCGCCCTCCCACTTCGGGAGAGAGGCCGCCAGTCTGGCGCATCAGCGGCTGCTGCAAGTGGATCCGCGCTGGCCCTCGAGGATGGTTCGCTCGCCGCTGATGCTGATGGGATCGATGGCGAAGAGCCCGACGATTGCGACCTCGTATCGAGTGACGAAGCGGCAGCCGCGCCAGCTCGCCCAGCGCCCTCGCCGCCGATGGGCTCGCTGACCCCGTGCGGCGGCAGCCGCGGTCGGTCCTCGACGCCAGCTGCTGCTCGCTTGGGCCGCAGAGGCCGCCAGGGCTCAGCCTCCCAGCTGGAGCCCAGCAGCGATTCCAAGAAGGGCGCGACCTCCCAGAAGCAAGTGTTTGACAAGAGGACGCCTGAGTATTGGATCCAGCAGACCGACGTCGCGAGCATCATGGCGGGCGGCAAACCAGGTCAGGGCCCTAACCAATTGGAGGCGCTCCAGGAGAAATGTGCAGAAGGAAAGCGCCCCGCCATCAGAGCCCACCTGGAGCTGGTCAATGCCGCGAAGGAGGTGGCCAGGATGAGTGCGGTGGAGGAGACGAGCGTGCACGCGCACCTGGACAGGCTGAAGACTGCCGTTGGCGCTCTGCCAGCGAGCGCCTGCGTTAAAGTTCTCACCCGGGCGCCGACTAAGCATCGGAAGCAGTTGCTCTCAGAGCCCCCCAGCGTCGAAGGCCTCATCAAATACATGTCGATGTTCCGCCTCTGGAAGGGCCCCGCGAAAGACAATGACTTCGACCACCGCGCCCCAGCGTTGATGACAACGGGCGCCCCTGCACAGGAGGCTTGCAAAGTATTCTTCGATGAGGTGATCGTGGAATTCTTGGCGCCGCTCATCCTCGGTGACGCGCCCAAGGAGGAGACAGTCATGGAGCTCGCGCGGTGCGGTCAGCAGGCCTTGGCACTCCCAGAGTTCGCAGAGATCGACGACGACTGCGCTGAGGCCATCGTTACGGCGCAGCAGCTCTTCAGCGCCGTGATCGCGTTGACTTGTAGGACGGTCGCCAAGAACGCCGCAGTCGACGCGTGCGACGACATCCAGAACCTGGACGCCTCCACCGCCACGGGTGTCACCACTGTTTGGACACAGGTGGGCGCTGCGATCCAGGAGTCTCCGCGCTGGAACATGCCCCGCACCACCGTTGCGAAGTCAATCAAGGCATTGAAAGAGGTAGCGCCCTTGATCGCGAAGGACATTGCTTCGTGGGAGTCCATCTCGGCCACGAGGGCGCTCGAGGACGTGCCCAACAAGGCGCTCGCGTTGACCAACAGGCTGCCTCAATGCATTGCTCGACTTGGGGGCGAAGCGGTTGAGGACCTGGAGGCGAGCGCCATTACCACTAGCATGAAGATGACGGACATGCTCATGAAGAGGGACTTCGACGGCGATGCGAGCACAGACGACTCGAGGTACATTAGCTCGATGAAGTCGTTCAAGTCCGTCGCCGAGGAGGCATTCAACATCTGCAAGTCCAGCGACTCCTTGGCCACGCTGCTGAAGACCATCGACGACCGCATCAGGGAGTTCAGCGTGAAGCTGCAGTCCGACGACTTGTCCGCCACCTTTGAGGGGTTCATCAAGGAGGACTTCAACCCCGCGAAGCTCGCAGCGGATCTCAAGTTGTACCAGCACGTCAACAAGGACAGCGCGACGCTTCAGAATTTGGCGGTGGATGTTTGGAAGAAGCTAGTCACTGACACTGCCGTGCAGGGCGTGAATCCTGACGCCTTCGATGATATCGAAGCCGTTGCCAAGATGCTGGTGGTTCTCTGCGACGCGGACGCCCAGGGGAGGATCTCTACGAATATGTCGGTGATCAGGCACACGGTCAACGTCCGCAAGACTTGGGTCAGGCTGATTGGCAATGCTGAAAACTACTCCGAGGCGGTTGACAGCGACAAGACTGAGAAACTTTGGAAGGCATTCCAGAAGTCTATTGTGGATTACGATACGTTCGTTGCGTCGCAGTGTACTCCTGAGGAGCTCGATTCACTCATGAAGGCGACCGGCATTGAGTTCCATGAGAACGCCACCAAGTTCATCGACCAGGCGAAGGGCGTGAAGGCCGACATCGTAGTGATCAAGGTGGGGGAAGTTGCAGGCGGAGATCGAGAACGCTCGCTGTTCTACGGAGAAGGTGTCGGACGGGATGGTGCAATTCAAGAAGTGGTGCACGCGCGTGAAGGACGAGTCGAGCTGGGGCGAGATCTCTGCACTTGGAGCCGAACTCCAGGGTATTGATTACCAGCCGCTCTACGATGGCATCGACATGCTGTTGCAGGCGCAGCGAGACAACGACGCTTTGACAAATCAGACGGGGGTCCAGGATCTGGAGTCTAGTCGGGCACGGTTAACATCCCACACGATGGTGCCATGTAGTACGGTATAGGCCAGGGTGCTGGGTGAATGGGCCCTCAGGGGCCCGAGATCGTTTTTGTCGGTGAGAGGGGTGAGCTTGTGAAATCATAGTTTCGATTAGCGGGTGGCATGTGTCAGCGTCGTTGTTTCGCGGCGACGCGCAGGCGGTGAGCACGTGCAAGGCGAAAGCTCGTGCATATGGTGATGATCTAGACGATGTGGTCATCGGTCAGATAGACGATTTCAAGACCAGCGTTGTTTCACGTGCCGCCTCCATGGAGATCGTTGCGAAGCTCACCGACAGCAAGCGGATTCCAAACAAGGTGTTCATGCGCACAGCGTGCTCCAAGGTCGGCAGCACCCTTCGCAAGTACGAGGTTCCCAGTTATAAGATCCACCCAGAGATCGCGACCAGGGTGAAGCAGGCAATGACTTTGCAGTTCAAAGGGTGATTGGGCTCGCCAGTGTAAGGCGCCGTTCGCCCGATGCCTTGGGCTGCGCAGCAGCGCAACAGGATTCGAGAGTTGGTGGTCGAGCCTGGGCGCGGGTGAACTGTGGCACGCTGGTCCTTGTCATTGCGTTGCCGCCGAATCGTCTTGCCTGATCCCCCTTGGGACCATCGTGCGCTCGAGCTGCGCTTGATTGCAGGCGCACCTGCTAAGTGGAAGGGGGGCGGGGTGCAGCCCTTGCGGGGTCTCTTGGGGGCTTCTTGCGGGGTCGCTTGCGTCCCATGGCCCTCTTTGGGTTCCACGAGGCCGTCAAGGCGACTCAGGGTGGGTTCAATGCAAGCCAAGACGGCCCCACGACGACCCAAGATGGACCCACTAAGGCCCAAGACGGCCCCACTACGACCCCAAGATGGCCGATTGCGGGCGTCCGAAGACGGCCCGAAACCTTCCCAAGAGGCACCCGAGAGGCCCCAAGAACCCTTCACGGAATTTCCAAGAGGCTACAGGTTAGTCTCCAAGATACCCTTTTCTTTCGCTGAGCGCATGGGCCTGTGCGTGTTTGCACGCGCGTGTGTGCGCGGGCTAGGAGGGGGATGAAAGGGTGGAAGAGGATGGGACTGGTGCTGGGGAGGGGGCGGAGAAGAGGGGAATGGAGGATTACGGCGTGGAGGTGTGGGGCCTCACCTCTTCCTCCTTCTCCTCTTCCTCCTCTTCCTCCTCATTCTTCTCATTTTCCTCATTGCGTTTCTCCCCCTCATCCTCGCTAGCTGGCTGTTGTGATCGGTGCGCCCCTTATCGTTTGAAACACTTTTGATTTAAAGCGCCTCCATCGTGTTCTGTCGCCCTCCGCCCCTCCGACCTTCCCCCGTTCGCCCTCCTCTTCCGCGCCGCTGGCTCGTTTCAAGTTTATTATTGTTCATCGGTTGCGATCGCATGGTAGCGGGGCAGCGGTTTGGGCTTGAATGCGGCTGGCGCGCGATAGAGCGCGCTACCGCGCCGCAAGTGATATGCGAACGTCGCGGCGTCTTGCGGCCCACCGTCGGTGGGCCGACGTCTGTTGTAGCTGGTGCAACTCGAGAGAGGTGGGCGCCCACGTGGGCGGAGGTGCGCGAGATCCCGAGTCGGCGTTTAGTTTCTGGGGCCATGGGGTTCGCGGGCGGCACCGCGACCCCGACGAGCTCGCCAGAGGCTGCGCTGCGGCCTTGATCCGACGACCGAAGTAAGCCGCGTGGGCGCTCGCCCGATTAGGCCTGTGGCCGATTGAATGTTCCAGGTGCTCTTCAGCATGGTGCGCCAACGCGCAGAGGTGTTGCAGTTGAGGTGGCCGCGCGGTTTCCCTTCGCCCGCGCACATTTTGCGCGGGGCATTGGAGCGTTTGCGCATGGGGGGGTGGGGGGGGAGGGTGCGCGCCCGAACTCGCTCGCGCGCGCGCTTTCGCGCGCACAGGGCCCGCGCTCGGGCGCGTGCGCCGTCGGTTTGCTTTGAGCGTGCAAGCCCGCCTTTGGGCGTGCAGGCGCGCAGGCTGCGCGGGTGCCCATAGGTTCGTTACACGCGCTTTGGCGCTGCGCGCCAGCCGAACGGCCTCGTTTGTAAGCAGTCTGCCACGTGCGAAACATGCGCGCTCGTACATTGTTTCAAGAGCTGCGCGGGTGCAGGACGCCCGACGCTGGGCGCCCGCGCTCGTTGAGAATGGTCGCGCGCATCTGCGTGACCCGTGGATGCTCGGTTGGCTTCCCGCACGTCAGATCGCGCTCGGGTCTTTGCGCGCGATCGCCAAAGTGCATTCGCGCGCCCCGTCGTTAGTGTAGGTGGCGTCTTTCTTGACTCTAGGCTAGCCGCTTGCCTAGCGTAGTAGGCGGTTGCGCACAGCGCTCCCTGCGGCAGTTGCCAGCAGCGGCGGTGCGTCCAACCGAGGCGCCGTCGCAATTTCGCTTGGATTGGTTTTTCCGCAACCTCAAAAACAGCCTTTGGGAAGCCTTTTTGTAACTTTACTTCTGGAGCCGTTCCAGAGCCTTTTAGGAGCCTTTAGGGTTCCTGGGTAAGTCTTTAGCGGGGTGCACCCATCACAACACCAGGGGGGTGGCCGGGAGGTGGGGCGCCTCCCGAGGGAGAACCACCTGGGCCAGACGGAGCGCCTCCACCACCGGCTGGGCCGGGAGGAGAGCCTCCGCCCGCCCCGCCACCGGCTTGGCCAGGCGGGGCAGCCGGATTCGAGGCTGACCCAGCGGATGACCCGCCGGCAGCCTGCCGACCGGCACCAGGATTGTCCAACGAAGGATGGGCGATGGCAACGTTTGCCTGGTGGCTTGCCGAACCGACTGGGTCGGTCGACGCCTCCGCTGCCAAACGTGGCCTTTTCGGCGGCGGCTGCTTTTCGTTCAAGTCAGCCTCGCCATCAAGGCCATCCTTCGCGAGCCATGCATCGAAGTCGCATGGGCGTGTCCACCAGGGTTGTTCCTTCCACCAATGTACCGCCAGTTGAGGGGGGATCTCAAAGCAATTTGCTCTGGCTGTTGTGGTGAGAGCCTCCTCAACAACATGCACTGGCGTGCAAGACAGACATTTGACGACAGACAGGGCATATATCGTGCCCCAACCGTCCCCAATGGCTTTGCCGCGGGGATGCGTTCGTGGTGAAGGGCCCCAGATGTTCAGCCACAAATCGGAAGCGCCTTCTGTCTTGTTGTCCCTTACTGCAGCCCTCGTCAAAAATAAACTGAGGGATTCTGTTTTCGGTGATTGTATGGTCAGCGCTACTCCAATGCTGACGCTAGATATCCGACGTGGACGCAAGGGCTTCAAAAATCCGACGACCCCGCCGCAGCATTGAAGAACGCAGTTTCTAACAAGTACCCGAGAAGATCGACCGTCGTGATTTCCGACTTCGTTTCGGTTTATTTTTGACGAGACTTGGCCGCTTTAAGTCAGTGCTGACCCCAAACAGTCGGTTATTGCATTATCTTGGCACCAACTGTGCGGTGCAATGTGCATCGCGCAAACTACGTGTGTTGCAAGGCGTTTGGTCCAATCTACGCGGCGGAACTTGTGCGGCCCAGTCTACGTGGCGCTATTTGCCTGTTGCCGCCGCCGCACGGGGCGGCGAAGGGGCGACGTGCATTCACGGGGCATTTTTCGTCGGCGGCGAGGCGGGGCAATCCGCGCCAGCGAGTCAGCAAAACGGGGGCACCGAAAAACGAATTGCCCGGCATGCACATTCAAGGGGCATGTACTCACGCATTTAACGATTGCCCTAGGAAGACAACCCCACCGCAAGCATTGTTTGGGAAAGATGACGCACCGTGCAGGCCTTTGCCGCGCCCGGGTCAGCATGCATCGAGGCGCGCGCGGGAGGATCGAGGTCAATGCCTCGTCCTGCTCCCGTTTAATTGGATGACGTCGCGGGCCCGCTCCTTCTGATCTGTGCAGATCTTGACCAAGTACGCCCTGCGGCGCACGTTGACCCACGCCACCGCCGCGCGAAGGCGAACGATGAATTGGTCTCTGGTCTCGATCGAGTCCGGCTCTGTGGCGGCAAGACGAGCTCGCACCTCCCGCCACGCGGCCTCGATCGCGTTCAAGTCCTGGCTGCGCCTCGGGTAATGCTCCAAGAGGTGGATGCCCTGCTCGCGCAGGGCGCAGCGCGGTTCCTCGGTCCAGAGGCACCGCTCATGATCTTGGACCAAAAATGGTCCGCGGTCGCCTCCGATCGCCTTGCGCAGCCACGCAGGGAACTTGTGGTTGATAATCCACTCGTACCACCAGCGGTTCATCGTCTCGCCCTGAGGCATGATGTAGATGAACAGCACCCCTGCCACGAGCAGCCCCCGTATGCGCACCGGATGGCCCTGCGCCTTCCAGTAGGCCGACGGCCCGATGCACTCCTCGCACAGGCCGTCGGAGCCATCTGCCTGGCGCCATACATGCGGACCCAATGCACCGCGCCGGTGCGACTCCAACTCGGAGTTGTCGCGGGCCAGGAAGAACACCGCGCCGTCGGTGCACGCCCGCCGCGCCAGAGTGGCCGCGGCCGCGGTGCGCGCAAGAGTCCACGCGGCGAAGTCGAGCCTGGCCACCTGTCGGCCGAGAGCAGACGTTTCAATGCGCGCCAGGTGCCCCGCGGCGCACGGGGCACGCATGCGGGTTTGTTCGGGGTGGCTGCCAATCGAAACGTCTGCCCGAGCCACCTTGTGCGCCTGCGGCACAATGGACTTGCGGCGCCTCCGAAGCCAAGCGAGCCCCGCCTCGCTCAAGCGCCGCTGCACCGTGCGGATGCTCACCTTCCGCGCCGCCCTGATCATCTTCTGCACGTGCTGGGCCGTCACCGCTGCGCGGCCGCGGTGCTTGAACACGAGGCGCAGGATCTGTCGGTCCAGAGCCGTCTCCGCGCTGCGCGGGCGGCCCGCCTGAGAAAGTCCCCCCCCCGTCGAAAGCGAGACCGCCGTTCTTCTCCGCGCGGCGGATGGTTGCAGCCACTGTCTGCTGGCACGGATGGCTCCCGTCTTCCTTCACCACCTCCTCGGCGATCTCCTGGTAGCTGGACCCGGCCAGGAAGAGGCCGCACACGACGCCGTGAAGGAATGGCGACAACTGGGCGCGAGGAGGCATGGCGGCGGGAAACCTGGGCCGAGCGGCGTCGGCGCGCAAAACTGCCGCGCGCGGCGCCCAAGAAACTCGAGCACGGCAGCCGCGGAAGACGCGCGGGGCCGGCGGCGGCGGCGCGGCCGACGGCGGGGGGAGGCACCGATCTACTTGGTCCTATCAGGGAGATATACTTCTGGACCCCCCCGCGGCAACCTGGCAGCCGCCCCTGGACCCCCCCGCGGCAACCTGGGAGCCGCCCACTCGGCATGCGCTTTGATACAGCGCGGCGAACACCGCAGTCACTTCGACATATTATTTGCACAACAACTACCCACCCTTGCCCACCAGAGTGTATTTTTTGCAAAGGATTATGGCCGGGTAGTTGTTGGCACTAACCAACAACTACCCGGCCGCCGCCCACTCGGATTGTATTTTTATATAGCGCGGCGAACACCGCAGTCACTTCGACATATTATTTGTACAACAACTACCCACCCTTGCCCACCAGAGTGTATTTTTTGCAAAGGATTATTGCCGGGTACTTGGGTAGTTGCACTTTTCTAAAAGATAAGAAAGCCCCCCTTTCCTTTCTTTTAAAAATCTGCAACTACCCAAGTACCCGGCAATAATCCTTTGCAAAAAAAAAAAAATACACTCCGGTGGACATGGGTGGGTAGTTGTTGTACAAATAATATGTCGAAGTGACGTCGGTGACCGCCGCACTATATAAAAATACAATCCGAGTGGGCGGCGGCCGGGTAGTTGTTGGTTAGTACCAACAACTACCCGGCCATAATCCTTTGCAAAAAATACACTCTGGTGGGCAAGGGTGGGTAGTTGTTGTACAAATAATATGTCGAAGTGACTGCGGTGTTCGCCGCGCTACATCAAAGCGCATGCCGAGTGGGCGGCTGCGGGGCAGTTGGACAAATACCCGCCATCATCCTTTGCAACAGACTTCCTTTGGGCGGCGGCGGCGCGAAAGCTCCCAGCCGCACGAATTTCCATAACATTGGAACGTCTACCTGTGATTTTGCACCGTCCCTTCTCCCTAGCTGTGCCGGTGTCGACACAACGACCTAAACGCGTCTTCCGTGTTGTTGACCTGGCGATTTGCTACTGTTACGCTACCGCGGACGCCGAGAATCGCGAAATCTCCCAGACGCAAGAATTTCGATAAAATTGGAACGTCTACTCGTGATTTTACACGAACTCCTTCTCCCTAGCTGTGCCGTATCCGATTCAACGACCTAAACGGTCTTCCGTTTTGTCGACCTAGCGATTTGCTAACTGTTACGCTACCGCGGACGCCGAGAATCGCGCGAAAGCTCCCAGACGCACAAGCTTCCATAACATTGGAACGTCTACCCGTAATCTTACACCAGGTGACTGTGGTGTCGATGGCTGAGGTGTCGATGGCGCAGACGACGATGCCGATGATTTATCTGTCTGGTCCCCCCGAATCTGTTCAGTTCAGCGCCGCGCGACAAGGGGCGGGCGGCTGTCTGGGCGGCGGCAAGCTAATTGCCGTTCAAGAGATTATGTTCGAGGTGCTGGAACTCGTCCGCGGACAGCAGACCGTTGTCAAGGAGGCCCTTCATGGCGACCAGCTCGGCCACGCACTCGGCCGCAGTGCGGGCCCGCTTGGGCGCGGACTGGCCGCCCTCTGGCCCGGGCCTCGACCCCCCTGGCGCGGCCCCTGCTGGCGGTGGCTCGGCTGGCTCGGCTGCGGGCGCGTCTAGAGTCTGCCCCCCCTCAAGGTAGAGTCTCGCGGTGCAGTGGGCGCAATGCTTCAGGGCCTCCTGCCGCTCCTCTGTGGGGACGGTGTACGTGCAGAAGCAATAACGGATTCGCCTGTCCATCTGGTCTGTCTCGTACTTGTCCTCTCGCCCGTCGCGCATCAGCCTAATCTTGTCGGGCGCAGTGATCAGGATCGGAGCCGTGCCCTCCCGCATCACGTCGCCGCCTCTGTTCTTGGGCCTCCCGACGTTCACTGTCTCGCCCTCCAAGAAGTCCTTGAAGTACGACCAGTCCATCCACGCCTCCGCAGCTGTGTTGTATTCGAAATCGCTCAAGAAAGCGAACTCCTTTTCCAGCGACGCTTCGAGTTGGTAGCCCCCCTGTCAGGCCTCTTGTAGGTGTCGTGCACCAGCGTCAAGCCCCTGAAGAGGGAGCTCTTGCCGGAGTCTCCAGCGCCGACCAGACAGATCGCACGCTGTTTCGCCCTGCCTGTTCTCGGCGCGCCGAGCACCGCGGCCTGGAGGGGGCCGTCGAAGCCGTTCTTCTGAAGCAGCTTCTTCATCATGTCGTAGCGCAGCCCCTCGCGATCGCGCCCGCACTTACCACCAACGAAGCACTCTTCCAGCAGCTGTTCCCGCGTGAGCCCCGCCCTCCTGGCCTTCTCCTGGGCCTGCTGCGCCTTGAGCACCTTGGCGAACATCGCCTCCCCGTCGTTGTCGTGCAGGTACGCCAGCATGGCGCGGTCCCCGCCCTTGGCCAAAAGAGCCGCCGTCGCCCGCATGTCTGCGTTCGTCTTCACGTTGTGCCCCCGGCAAAGGTCTCCGAAAGCCAGACTGGTAAGTTTCGCGTGTCGGACGAATCCTTCCTTCTGCCACCGCTTCGGGAGGCACTCGCTCAAGGGCAACGGGTTTCCTCCATCTCTGCGCCACTGCAAGGGGCCTTGGTCCAAGGCCTCAGGCTGTTTGTGGTCTGAGGCCACACAGCCGTAGACCACTCCCTCCGCCCACGTTTTTATGTGGGTGGCAAAGTCAACGTGCGCCTTGTGGCTCTGTCTGAACACTCCCGCTACCTTCTTCCACTTGTATTGCGCCAGTGACCGCACTAAGCAACTGTTGTGTGGGAGCCCATTCTCATGGGGCTCGCGAAAAGTAGCCGTCTCCTCCAAGGTCACGCCACTGGCAGTGTGAACCTGGACCACCATGGCGTTGAATTCTTCCCTGGTGAAGTCGGACGGGGTCTTCAGGCCCAGGCGCTCCACCGTCTCCGGCTTCGGATGCGCCTGGGTGATCCAGTACACGTACTGCCCCTTGGCTCCGCGGCCTTGCTGTGGAGGCCCAATCGACGACACGTCCTGCAAGGCCTGCAAGGCTGGGGCGGCGGCGGCATCGTCGGCGCCACCGACTGGGGCCTGCTCAGCGCCAGCGTCAGCCATAGAGTGGCACCCTTGCCACTCTGGGCGTCGCGCGCCGAATGGTTTGAGCCAAAATGGCTACGGAATCATATGCGAATCAAAAGACGGGCCTGAGCACCGTGACTGCGAGCGCCCGGACACCTCCTGTGGACACCACATCAATGGCGAACACTTCAGCCTGCGAGCAGCACAAGCTCGCAGAGCGCAATATGATCAATCAGGGGTACGTTTTTGCCCCAATGTAAGCCCCACAACGCCTGAGCACCACCGTGACTGAGAGCACCAGTTTGCCTGTAGACATCGCACTAATGGCGAACACGTGAGCCTACGAGCACCGCAAGGACGCAGAGCGCAATAGGATAAATCAGGAGTGCGTGTTTGCCCCAATGCAAGGTCAACCTCATCCATCCTCCATCCTCCCTCCAAGCGTTTTGGGAGGCGGCTCCTCCGAAAACGCCTGGAGCCCTCCCATCCCTCCTAAACCCTCCGTGCTCCTCCCAAAATCTCTGAGCCCTCCCATTCCTGAGCACCCCTCCGCACTCCTCCCAAAACCTCCAGAACCTCCCAATCAATCAGAACCCCTCCGCACTCCTCCCAAAACCTCTGGACCCCCCAACCGTCCAAACCTCACTCATCCCTCCTGCTCCTCCTCCTCCTCCTGCTCCTCCTCCCTCTCCTCCCCCTCCTCTTCCTCCTTCCCCCTCCCTCCATCCGTCCACCCCTCCTGCCCCTAAAGCCTCCGCGCTCCTCCCAAACCCCCTGGAGCCCTGCCGTCCCTCCTCAACCCTCCGCGCTCCTCCCAAAATCTTTGAGCCCTCCCATTCCTGAGCACCCCTCCGCACTCCTCCCAAAACCTCCAGGACCTCCAAATCATTCAGAAACCCTCCGCACTCCTCCCGAAACCTCCGGACCCCCCAACCGTCCAAACCTCGCTCATCCCTCCTGCTGCTCCTCCTCTTCCCCCTCCTCCTCCTCCTCTTCCTCCTTCCCCCTCCCTCCACTCCTCCCACAACCTCCAAAACCTCCCAATCCCTCGGAACCCCTCCGCGCTCCTCCCAAAATCTCCCAAACCCTCCCATTCCTGAACACCCCTCAGCACCCCTCCCAAAACCCTTCGCGCTCCTCCCAAAACCTCTGGGCCCCCATCCGTCCAAACCTCACTCATCCCTGCTCCTGCTCCTCCTTCTCCTGCGCCTCCTCCCCCCCCCCCCTCCCCCTCCTCCCCCTCCTCCTCCTCCTCCTCCTCCTCCTCCCCCTCCCCTCCTCCCCTCCCCCTCCTCCCCCCCCCCCTCCTCCTCCCCCCTCTCTTCTTCCTCCTTCCCCCACTCCGGCGCGGCGCGGCGCGGCGCGGCACAGCGCGGCAAACGTGGATGATAATGATGAGAACAACTGCGTCAAGACGGCCCAGGAAGGCCCCGAGACGGTCCAAGAGACCCCCCAAGAGCGCCCAAGAGGGCCCCCAGAAGGACTCGCGGACGTCGTCGTCCCCCTTGAAGGTCGGCGGCACAAGACGCAAGGCCTCTCCAATAATGGTGAAGACAACTGCGCTCAAAACGATACAATATGGGAACACCTCTCTCGCCTCCACGCCTTCAAGTTCCCGGGCGGGGCGTAGAAACCCGAAAAGAAACATCGGCGAAAGGCCATAATTTCCCCCTTTCGAAAACACAAAGAAATGAACCCGGTTACCGTGGACCCTGGGGGCCCTCACACGCATTCTACTCCGGTGGCCAACCTGGCGGCGGGAGTAACAACCCGACGTGAACACGGAAGCATGCAATATGTATGTATGTGTGCCGTTGCATGCCACTATATGCTGTCGCACCATGTCACGAACAGCACACAGCAATTGCAAACTAATTCTCCAGCCGAGCGGACGGACACGCGCTGCGCACTAGCGAAAGAAAGCGGTATAGAAGCCTATAGGCGAGCAGCCCTCGTCAAAAATAAACTGAGGGATTCTGTTTTCGGTGATTGCATGGCCAGCGCTACTCCAATGCTGACGCTAGATATCTGACGTGGACGCAAGGGCTTCAAACATCCGACGACCCCGCCGCAGCATTGAAGAACGCAGTTTCTAACCAGTGCCCGAGAAGATCGACCGTCGTGATTTTCAACTTCGTTTCGTTTTTTTTTTTGGTTTTTTTGACGAGGCTTGGCCGCTTTAAAAGTCAGTGCTGACCCCAAACAGTCGGTTATTGCATTATCTTGGCACCAACTGTGCGGTGCAATGTGCATCGCGCAAACTATGTGTGTTGCAAGGCGTTTGGTCCAATCTACGCGGCGGAACTTATGCGGCCCAGTCTACGTGGCGCTATTTGCGCGTTGCCGCCGCCGCACGGGGCGGCGAAGGGGCGACGCGCATTCACGGGGCATTTTTCGTCGGCGGCGAGGCGGGGCAATCCGCGCCAGCGAGTCAGCAAAACGGGGGCACCGAAAATCGAAATGCCCGGCATGCACATTCAAGGGGCATGTACTCACGCATTTAACGATTGCCCTAGGAAGACACCCCCACCGCAAGCATTGTTTGGGAAAGATGACGCACCGTGCAGGCCTTTGCCGCACCCGGGTCAGCATGCATCGAGGCGCGTGCGGGAGGATCGAGGTCAATGCCTCGTCCTGCTCCCGTTTAATTGGATGACGTCGCGGGCCCGCTCCTTCTGATCTGTGCAGATCTTGACCAAGTACGCCCTGCGGCGCACGTTGACCCACGCCACCGCCGCGCGAAGGCGAACGATGAATTGGTCTCTGGTCTCGATCGAGTCTGGCTCTGCGGCGGCAAGACGAGCTCGCACCTCCCGCCGCGCGGCCTCGATCGCGTTCAAGTCCTGGCTGCGCCTCGGGTAATGCTCCAAGAGGTGGATGCCCTGCTCGCGCAGGGCGCAGCGCGGTCCCTCGGTCCAGAGGCACCGCTCATGATCTTGGACCAAAAATGGTCCGCGGTCGCCTCCGATCGCCTTGCGCAGCCACGCAGGGAACTTGTGGTTGATAATCCACTCGTACCACCAGCGGTTCATCGTCTCGCCCTGAGGCATGATGTAGATGAACAGCACCCCTGCCACGAGCAGCCCCCATATGCGCACCGGATGGCCCTGCGCCTTCCAGTAGGCCGACGGCCCGATGCAGTCCTCGCACAGGCCGGCGGAGCCATCTGCCTGGCGCCATACATGCGGACCCAATGCACCGCGCCGGTGCGACTCCAACTCGGAGTTGTCGCGGGCCAGGAATAACGCCGCGCCGTCGGTGCACGCCCACCGCGCCAGAGTGGCCGCGGCGCGCGCAAGATTCCACGCGGCGAAGTCGAGCCTGGCCACCTGTCGGCCGAGAGCAGACGTTTCAATGCGCGCCATGTGCCCCGCGGTGCACGGGGCACGCATGCGGGTTTGCTCGGGGTGGCTGCCAATCGAAACGTCTGCCCGAGCCACCTTGTGCGCCCGCGGCACAATGGACTTGCGGCGCCTCCGAAGCCAAGCGAGCCCCGCCTCGCTCAAGCGCCGCTGCACCGTGCGGATGCTCACCTTCCGCGCCGCCCTGATCATCTTCTGCGCGTACTGGGCCGTCACCGCTGCGCGGCCGCGGTGCTTGAACACGAGGCGCAGGATCTGTCGGTCCAGAGCCGTCTCCGTGCTGCGCGGGCGGCCCGCCTGAGAAAGTCCCCCCCCCGTCAAAAGCGAGACCGCCTTTCTTCTCCACGCGGCGGATGGTTGCAGCCACTGTCTGCTGGCACGGATGGCTTCCGTCTTCCTTCACCACCTCCTCGGCGATCTCCTGGTAGCTGGACCCGGCCAGGAAGGCCGTGCACGACGCCGCGAAGGAATGGCGACAACTGGGCGCGAGGAGGCATGGCGGCGGGAAACCTGGGCCGAGCGGCGTCGGCGCGCAAAACTGCCGCGCGCGGCGCCCAAGAAACTCGAGCACGGCAGCCGCGGAAGACGCGCGGGGCCGGCGGCGGCGGCGCGGCCAACGGCGGGGGGAAGGCACCGATCTACTTGGTCTTATCAGGGAGATATACTTCTGGACCCCCCCGCGGCGACCTGGCAGCCGCCCCTGGACCCCCCCGCGGCAACCTGGGGGCCGCCCACTCGGCATGCGCTTTGACGCAGCGCGGCGAACACCGCAGTCACTTCGACATATTATTTGTGCAACAACTACCCACCCTTGCGCAACAGAGTGTATTTTTTTGTTGCAAAGGATTATGGCCAGGTAGTTGTTGGTACTAACCAACAACTACCCGGCCGCCGCCCACTCGGATTGTATCTTTATATCGTGCGGCGAACACCGCAGTCACTTCGACGTATTATTTGTGCAACAACTACCCACCCTTGCCCACCAGAGTGTATTTTTTTGCAAAGGATTATTGCCGGGTACTTGGGTAGTTGCACTTTTCTAAAAGACTAAGAAAGCCCTTATCACCTTTCTTTTAAAAATCTGCAACTACCCAAGTACCCGGCAATAATCCTTTGCAAAAAATATACTCCGGTGGACAAGGGTGGGTAGTTGTTGTACACATAATATGTCGAAATGACGTCGGTGACCGCCGCACTATATAAACATACAATCCGAGTGAACGGCGGCCGGGTAGTTGTTGGTCAGTACCAACGACTACCCGGCCATAATCCTTTTTGCAAAAAAAAAAAAAAAAATACACTCTGGTGGGCAAGGGTGGGTAGTTGTTGTACAAATAGTAAGTCGAAGTGACTGCGGTGTTCGCCGCGCTATATCAAAGCGCATGCCGAGTGGGCGGCTGCGGGGCACTTGGACAAATACCCGCCGTCATCTTTTGTAACAGACCTCCTTTGGGCGGCGGCGGCGCGAAAGCTCCCAGCCGCACAAATTTCTATAACATGGGAACGTCTACCTGTAATTTTGCACCGTCCCTTCTCCCTAACTGTACCGGTGTCGACACAACGACCTAAACGCGTCTTCCGCGTTGTTGACCAGGCGATTTGCTACTGTTACGCTACCGCGGACGCCGAGAATCGCGCGAAATCTCCCAGACGCAAGAATTTCGATAAAATTGG